CGTCATAGATTTCTCCCGGCCGTCGAGAGCCGAGCGGGCTTCAGAGTCGGAGTCGAACCCCTCCACCCCGAAACACGGCAGTAGTTCGGGCAGCCACCGTCACCACCGCCACCACCACCACCACCATCACCACAACAACCACTCGCACCGGCAGCAGCAGCAGCAACAACAGCAACAACAACAACAACAGGAGCAACAAGAATCCTCCCAATCCCAGTACTCTCACCACTCCAAATCCTCGGAAGTTCCCAGCCTCAGACTCGACATGGCCGCCACCCCGCGAAGCCCGCGACCCGGAAGTGGGGGTCACAGCAGTGGTAGAGATTACGACTCCAGCTACGGTCACTCGTCTTCTCAAGGTCACTCGTCTTCTCAAGGTCACTCCGGGGTGACAGACGTAGAGACTCCCCAGTTTCCGGGCGGGACTTCCAGCCACGGCCACTACAGCCGGGGTAACTCTGCCAGCACGAGCTCCGAGCTGTTCAGGACGCCCGGCCAGTACGCCTCTCGGAACCCCAGCCCCGCCTTCACGCGCACCCAGTCCTCCCACTCCTCCCCCTCCCCGAAGCACCAGTCCCAGGGATCCTCCTCCTGCTCCACACCCAACTACCCTCCCCCGCGCTACTCCGAGCTCCGACGAGAGGACTCCTCCTCCTCCTCCCACAAACGCCCCCACACGAGCAGACCCGCGCGAACCGACTCCGCCCCCTCCAACGTGGCGTCATCCTCCGGTAGCACTTCCGCTAGAACTGGCTCCACTCCGCGAAGGACCACGTCGCAGTCTCCGCGAAGCACGCCCCCGAGAACCTCGTCTCGTTCCGGTTCAGGCTCACCCAGGACGCAGAAGGAACGAGACCGAGAGAAACAGCGGCGGTCGGAGACTCTGTCCGTAAAATCTGCCACAGAGGCGGCCTCTCGGACCGAGGATATTCCCGAACACATGTACCACCAGGACGAAGAGGGGTTCTTCTCTTCCGTCTTCTCGCTCAATCCATCTCGAATGTTCCAAAGTTCCGACGCGGACGGCAATTCGAAAAAAGGCATTCTGTTCTTCAGCCGGCTGTCTGGGGCCGGGCGGAAGGATTCGAACCAAAGCCAAGGGGGTCGCTCGGGCGGTAGCCGGCTGAGCTCCAACAGTTTCAGGACTGGCGGCTTCGACTCCTGATGACCGCCCGCCCCTCTAGCTCAAGGGTCAAGGACGATGGGAGCCATCTAGGTCAAGGTCGAGTGTGTTGCAAAAACACTCGGATTTGCTGTGATTTTTTATACATTTTTTGTATTTATTAGACACTAATGAACAATGCATACTTTTTGTTCTTTTTTTCATATATATTTGTTTTTCTACCTATTTGTTGATTACTGTTAATGATGACTCGATCTGCTTAAAATGATTCAGCGTCCATACTTATTAATGTCAATCTCTGATGTAATATATGCAGTTCTTACAAACCCTGTAGTACCTTCTACCATATACATATATATGTATGTACATACAATAGCCAGTGACCACCGCATGTTTTTTCTAATTGCTTCTGTCGCTTGGAGGAACTGACAATCTCATGTAGAGATGTACAGATAGAATCTACTGCCCGACTTGTCTAAGACAAGCCAAGGGGGAAAAGGAAACATCTGAGACAGACGCGAGTGGGAGGTAGTCTCTTGTACTGATGGTTGCCTTGGACAGGTATTGCTGGAAAAGTTTCGATATATGAATACATAACTGCAGACCAATATCGTTCAACACTGCCCAATTAAACTTAAGTACGATTTGAACGATTGAAAGCCCATTGCCCAAGGATGAAGTTTTATGTAATGACTAGATGCCAGAACAAGGGAGCTGGTGTCTTATTGTATTACACACACTCTTGCCCTATAGACAGCCGCAGGATTCCCTGGTGGGGAGAATATTGATCGAGTATCTTGTGTGTGTGTGTG